TGTCCATCGAGAGCATCTGAAATGATCTCTCACAGGTGGCACAAGCTAAGGGACCGGTCAAACAAACGTCAGCATTCCTGAAGCTTCTTAAAATCTGTGTGCATGTCTGTGCATCATGAACTCTGTTTCAGTGTTTGTCAGAGGTTAATTCTGAATTGTAGACATTCAAGTTCCTGGCTACAGCTCGTAACTCTTGTCATCCGTGGCGTCGTGTCATTTGGATTAAAGTGCATTTTAATGATCTCTGGTTTCGGCGCTAACTGATCGTAATCCTTTAAAACCACACCTGACTAGTCTGTGGATGATCTCAATGGCCACTTAAAAAACTTTTTGTGCACAATTGGCTAAATTTTTACCCCTTTTCTAACTTTTTATTTAAGTCAGAAATTCGTATATTTTTCTTCGCTGTCGGCAGTGAATTATTGCTGCAGAGTGAAACTCGGGTGAATTCAGGAGTACATTTGCTCTATTAAGCTCCTATCCATCCTGAACAAGCCATCCACACCCACCGCGCCACCTACTACAGCCGAGCGTTACCACGGAGCACTTAGGCAATTGATCTGTGTGGGACTTGTGGATGATTGTGATGTTTATCTTGTCAGCAAAGTGATAAAAATGTGAATGCGCTGTAAGCCCTGCATCAATTTCCTTGTCCCATTTTAACTTATTGAAGCCCGCGTCACAGAGTGAGATCCTCCGTTATCTGCGGCAGACGCGAGTCCATTTGAGGCAAAGTGCAGGAAATTGAGGTTTGAATCACAGGTGGCACGATCTAAAGTGACTTGTCAAACCAACGTCAGCGTTCCAGAGGCTCCTTAAGCAAGCTAAGCACTGCTCCAACCTGAGGGTGTAATGGTATTGTTTCACTGGTCGTGTAATGACAGCTTTCAGCCACACAGCGGCACTTGAACCTGTCCCCTGAGCACATGAGAGGAGACTGTGGAGTGGCTTTACCTGCAGAGAATGACTTTGCATTATGGGCATTTGATTTTCACGGGAGTGTGACGGTGACAGGCGCTCATTTCCATTTGTTACACCTAAAACGAAAAGAAAAAAAAAAAAGAGCCAACTTCGGATGCAAGTCATCTATTATCTGTCTGGATTTGCTTGTCAGTCACACTTGAACCGCCCCGTGAAGTGGCGGCCTGGATAACGCTGCAGAGCAAATCATCGCTTCACATTTCATCTGTATTGATTGTATTTCACATTGCAGGTGAAAGCTTTCTTCACCACATAATCGGAGCAGCATTAATACTCTTTTAAAACGCCATGTATTATCCGACGCTGACAATTGAGGGATATTATGAAACCCGACACTTATTGAAGGCACAATTGATACCCCAAAACGTAATTCTTCAGCACAGATGAGAGCTAACAACATGTGGGATGGTTTGAGAAGTGGATGAGGGAGAGACGGGGATGATTTAGTGCCGGTTGCATCGACCAGACTGTAGAAAGTGAAGATAATCACACGGAGATAAAGCCAATCAATCATGCATTCCTCGCGCTGGTACATGGTTGGATTGTCCCTTGTTGTAATAAAATAAACAATGGGCCTTTTGTCAGGTGTTCTTAACGCACTCCGGGTTGTAAAAAAAAACACAAAATAAAAAATCAATCAGAATCCAATTGCAGATGGGCTTTCATAGATGGATGGGTAAGTGTGTCGACTGTGTGGCGATGATGATCAAACTAACCTCGATGCTTTCATGCATCACATATGTGATGTTTGCTCACTTTGTAGTCTGCCTTTACTGTATAGGCGCAGTGTGTGTGTCTACATGAACGCCCAGCCATGCAAACATGTGCCTGCACATTCATACATGTTGGCCTTTTGCTCAGACGAAGTAACTGGGTCACATGTGCGAACAGCAGTCAAGGAGGATTTTAATCAAACTTTAGAATCCCCCGATGTGCATCCCTCCGGCAATCAATTACCATCCAACTGGGGGTTAAAGAGTGCTGATGATGCATTAACTCTATTGTTGTTCAGGAACTGTGTTCATAATGACCAAAAATCCAGAGAAGTAGCGGTCTGTGGGAAACAGAAGAGCGTTCAACCACCTCCACCTCGCATGCCTTTTCTCTCCCTGCTTCTCTATAGTGCTTTGTCTAGTAGGTAAATAGGAGCCAGGCAGCCAGAGTGATGAGTTTATTAGCTCCCGCCAGCTGTGACCAACCCTTGGGTGTTATTGGCGGGGTGGCTGTGTCGGTGTGTGTGTGTGTGTGTGTGTGTGTGTGTGTGGCGAGATGCTGTCGGGGTGGCGGGGCTCGAGGCAGGGCGAAATGAGGCTGGGAACAGGAGGGGCGCAGGGGGAGGGAATTAGGGGAGTACCCCATGAGAACCAGAGAAACTCCCTGGCAACTGGAGACAGGATCAACACTAAATGGGGCGCCTCCATTCATCGAGCAGTGACACAGAGCCAAATGACAGAGATTGAGAGAGGAGAGGTAGAGTGTAGAAGGAGACGGGTGGGGGGGTGTACAAATATGTGAATGAGTGTAAAACCATTGGAGGCTGGTCAGCAGGGGACTTCCTACTGTGTACAAGTTAGTCTGCACACACTCCGGCTGCTAGTGTCCCTGAATGTGTCATTTTTAATGCATTTGCTGGAGGAAAGAGGAGGAAAAAAATGCAGACATGTGTGAAAACATGTGGCTGCTAAATGGCTGTTTAAGTTCACGTTTAAGCCCCATTAAGAATTGATAACCGTGAGAGCAGAAGATATGGATCCCATCACAGAGTGTGAGCGTCTTTTTTGCGCATGTGAAAACGCCAGCCCCTGTGTGCACGCAACAGCCTTCAGAGTCTTTTGATGTTAATTGCCGCAATGTCATTCATGATGAGTCAGTGAATCGCAGAGGTGTCTGTGGGGTTATCACACCGTGTCCACGCTCCTCCAGTGAAGAGGGGGAAATATGCGCCACAGTGGTCAGCCGCCTGTGCCACACCCTTCAGAGTAAACAAAGGCAAGACACAACTGAGCCATCATCCCTCTGGAAAAAAATCTGATGGTATTCACAGAAGCGGGAGGCGTATCTGATGCTGAGCCTAATATTATAATTACAGTGAAATTGCCTCTTGCGTATAGATGAGAGGTTATCTCCAAAAAAAAAAACAGAAAAAAACCGCCCCCTCACTTTTACGCACACACGCGTGGGCTTACGTTTCCTCCTCATGTGCACACAAACACACATGCGCACATGCACATTCCAAAAAAAAAAAAAAAAAACATCTACCCCCTCTTTGTCTTGGTCGCCTCACGGCTTTGGAGCCCTCCGAAACAGGAATTCAGCAGGAGGAGGGGGAAAGGAGAAGGAAAAGACGAGCGGCGCGGATGTGTGTGGACCAGACTGTCTCCTCCCCCCACCCATAGGCGCACACACCACAACTCTCTCCTCCCCCTGAACCCCCCCACCTCCTCATCCTCCTCATCCTCCTCCTCCACACCCCTGCTCGCCCCCCTCATTGCCTTTGTGTGTGTGTGAAGCTGACTGCGCACCCGAAAACCGTGTGACGGATGCCGTGCATGTAAAAAAGCAGCTTTATGTTATTTTTTAAAAGAAACAATTCTTATTAATCGGTTTTGCGCAATTTTTTTGTGCGTGTGTGCCAAACTGGGAAGAACCTGCAGGTGCAAGTGAAGGGGAGGAACCGGCTGGACGCACGTGAATCTCTTCACTCTCATCCCCAAAGCCAGGAAATAGAAAGGAGAGGGACGCGTAACCAGCAAGTGCGGCAAATTGGACTTTCCACCATCAGCATCTCTCCTCTTTCGCCATCCCTGCTTTCTTTTCTTTTTTTTTTCTCTCCCGTGGATGTCTCCCCACTTACTCCCATCCTTCCGAGAGCATCCTCACGCCGGAGCGCTCTCTAAATATTAGAGGCAGAGAGGTGGTTTTTCTTGGGGGGAGGGAGGTGGGAAAGGATTTTGGGGTGACTTGAGAGAAGATGGATTAAAGGGACGGTGCGCCGCAAAACTGGAGCAGCACGCACGACCACGCCGGGGGGGAAGGGGGCGACGGGACTCGGTGAATTCACGGAGCCCCCGGGACAGAGGTGAGTGGTGGTCCGGTTTGTGTTGTTTAAAAAAAAAAAAAGAAAGAAAGAAAGAAAGAAAGAAACACCTCATCTGCTCCTGGCAGGAGCTGCGAGGCGAGGAAAGAGAAAATCAGCACATGGTTTTCACGTTTTCATAATTGATGATCTCATACGCTGGATGCTGGTTTCTGCATGTGGAGGTGTGACTGCTAGATTCTTGCTTTTTGATGGAGTGGGGAGTCGAAATGTGACTTCCAATGGATGAGCAGCAACAATTAAAGCAAAGTGCATGTTCAGAAACATGCAACCATCATCACTATTTTCATGCATTTGACTGAATTTATACTCTGAACAAAAACATCCTTAAATGATGGTTGAACTATTGTAACTGTGAATGGAGGTGAGTTAAGTTGGGTTCAGATCCTCCTGCACATCAAACTGAGTCTATACGTCCCTTTATGTGTCTGTGCCCGCTCAGGGGCCCTGCAGTAGCTGTGCAATAGGCAGGCAGCTCAATAACTTTCCTGATGAATGCATGAATACATAGTGGGATGAAAATGGACAAGCTGCACTGCTGCACTTTATGTTCGCCTCATTAATTCATTTTCAGGCCCCTGTTTGTGAACAAGGGGTCATAGAGAGAGCAGTGACTCTATCCAGTGCATTGTGATTCTAATGCTCAGTCAAAGGTTGTGGAGACATCCTGCAAATCTTTGTAACTACTGGCTGCTTCTGTTCCATATGGTAGTTTAACAACTACGATACAGACCCATGTGGAATCAGCAATCACCTTTAGAGAAATAGTTGCATGTTTTTTTTGAGCTGATTTGACTTAAATTAGGGCTGTTGCGATATACAGGTATTGACAATAACCGTAAAAATGAAATATTCAGTGACACACATGTGATAGCACCATAAATAACCCAGCAGCAGTAACTATCTGGTCCAGAGATAGGAACAACATACTCTCTCTCCACCTTTCTACACATATTTTAGTGGAATTCATTTGCCAAAAAGGCAACAAAACACACCGTTAAAGATGCATTTGACACAATTATTTTTTCAAAATTTCTATAGATGTCACGATATTAGTGTTGTGATTTCATATGGCGAAAGTAAAAAATCTGATATTGTGATAATGCAAATGTATTGTAATTATGCTGCCCCTTTAACAGAAAACTGTTTTCCTGAATGCAAACAAAAAACACGCAGCAATAGTAGAATAGCATCATCACACAAACACAGTCAACAGTTAAGTCAAAGAAACCTTCTTCTTTCCATCATCAGCATGATTCATGCAGCTTCCTCTGAAGTCCAAACAGTCCAACACGCTGTGCCATATTGTAGCACGCTATAATACAGTAAAATAATAATTTATGTGGTAGGAAAATAAATCTCCAACTATTCTGGTAACCGATCAGGCAATCCTTTTGATAACTTTTCCAGAAAAAATGGTGGAAAACGCAATAATCCAGCCGAAAGATTTACCGTGTTGCTCTGTCATATGATGCTAAACTGAGTATGTTTGTATTTTTATTTGTTTTTTTGGCATTTGGAACATTACCGAGGACATCACATTGGGCTCTGGGACATCATAATTGACATTTTTTTGTTTTTATAGACAGCAGTAGTGTAGTTTTTTAATAATGAAAATAACAGCTGCTTTCTTGCATCCCTACTGTAGTAGTCGCTGAATGGTTTGAGTGTAAATTTGCTCACATTCGATGGTTTAATCCAACCAGTGAGATGGTGTTCTACTCCACCCCATCACCAAAACACAACATTAGAGAATGTATCTGAGGACGCTGGTGTCCAAACCCTCCAGCAGCGTTCACAGATCTCTGCCACTGAAGCGCTTCTGGAGGCTTGTGGTGGCCCGAGACCCTTCACAGAGGCACAGAGGGCCTCTCCTTTCATTTCTCACCCATCTACAGCTGACTTACCAGTCTCCGTCTCTCACACACACCCCCCCACCACCCCCATCCCTGCGCCGGTGGTCACCGAGTCTTGTATTTTCCTCGCTCGTCTGACAGACTGTTTCTCTCCACCGCAGGCTATACAACCCACCTCATTCACACTGATACACACAGACAAGATGTACTGCTCAGACTATAGACGCACACCAACACTTCCGTGATGTTTGCAAGCACAAAGCGAGCAGCGGCAGCTCATACTACACACACACACACACACACACATGGGATGCGTCCCAAAGGACAAACGCTGGTTTAATAGATAAATGAGCCCCTTTCTGCAGTGGAGAGGCTCAGTCTGTGAGTGTGTTTGTGTGTGTTGGGGTGAGGTTTAAGTGCTGACTGGAGTAGGTCAATGAGACCAAGCTGCTGGGAGAGTGAGACCCAGGACCCTGCATCTTCTTAAGCTGCTTTCAGCCACACTGGAATCCATCCATCCCAATATCCTCCCCTGATCCTCAACCAACCCCCCCTACTTACCCCTACCACTAGACATACAAACATATACACACTACATTGCAATTTTTTTTTTTAAACATTCTTTTCTTTCATCTGCGCTTATCTTCTCCTCTCCTCTCCAATACATTTCTAGCGGTCATGGAAATTAGACTGTAGAAGTCTTTGATTTTCTGCGCCTTCCGTCGCCTCAGGGTCAGGCCCTCTTATCTTGGAGAGAAACAGAGAGACGGAAAGAAGGGAGGATGGAGATGAAAAAAAAAGAAAAGAGAGAGGTGCGAAGAAAGAGTGGCAGATGGTGAGAGAAGGTAGAAGAAGGAAGAAAAAAAAAGAGGAGACGGGGATTTGTTGACAGATATATGGCAGGAACGGTGAAGAGAGAAGGTACAAGGAGGGATAGTGGGAGAGAAAAAAGCAAACAAAAACTCAGCAAAGCACAATAAAATGAGAGAAGATGACAGAAGCAGAGAGGGTTACAGATGGGTAGACAGCTTTCAGAAAATACTTCCTGTTGTCTTTTTGGAATTGATGAAGCTTTTGTTCGATCTGCTTTTGAATCCCACCACTAAAACCCACTGGTACATGGGTCAGCAGGCCTTTGACACACCATGCAGCAGGTTTGGAGATTAAAAGTCTTGAGGTTTTTTTGTGAGAAATCAAATCCTCACATTCGGAGTATTGGCCAGTAGGCGGTTTATAATAAAAAAAAAATCAATACTGACTCGAAGTAAGCGCGCACAGGAGTTGATAGAAAACGAGTAACCAGAGAAAGAGAAAAAGAGGTCAAGAGGAAAGCGTTGGCACCATGAAGTCAGATTGGTTGGAAGAGGGAGGGATGGATGATAAGTGATGATAAGTAAAACGGGACGAGGAGAGATGGGAGAAGGTAGAGAGGGTAGAATTGGAAAAGAGTTGAGTGGAGGACAGAGCAGAGATGCCGATACAGGACGGGCACTTACGGGGGAGAAATGGGGAGCTGTAGGGAGCGCTGTGAATATTTAACTCTGTTGAGTTTTCCATTTGTGCCCCTTGGCTTTTGCTTCTCTGGGAGGCCTCCTGATGGCCTACAGGTTACTGATGGCAGACAGGAGATATCTTTATATGTCTGTGTAAAGAAGGTGGAATTGGTGTAAAAAAAAAAATCATCTTTTTTTGTCTTTTTTGTTGAATTCACCCTGACTGAACCTTCACATTTCAAAATAGAGCTTTTTCATAACCTTGCGTGTGTTTCATCATCTCATTGCAATCGCTGAGTGGTTATTTAGCGTGCATGTGCAAAACAATAGGCCTCATTATTGAGCGTGTATGGATGCTCAACAACTAACAAGGCACCACATTGCTAAGCAACGCCGTAACAAATACGCTCAGAATACTTTTTAATGTCTAATTTTAGTCCAACAAAAGCAGATTCTTCAAACGAATACTTTGAAATTTCGCTATAAAAACCTTTCAGCTCGAAGAATTCTTTGAAAACTTTTTTTTTTTTCAACCCGTCTTTGATTCATCAGACAAGCTGAGGCCTGGCAGGAGCATCTTTTTTTGATGCTTTCAGAAATATTGATGGTGGAATGTGCTCCCAATCTTCTCTTTTACAATCTGTTCTCCCAACAGGCTGTGACTGGTCCCACCCCAAGATGACGTCCCCAAAAAACAAAGCCAAGAAGAAGCCGCCCAAAGACAGCATGACGCTGCTGCCGTGCTTTTATTTTGTAGAGGTACGTGCAGATGGAATCGGATGCATCGATGAGTCAACGTTGCTCACTGCATTTACCCAATCAATCAGTATTGAGCGACTCCGTTTTACTGTACACTCACACCAGTAGTGAGCGATCTGTGGTGATTGCACGGTTGACCACTAAGCAAACACACATCACGGCAGCACTGTGTTCTTTGCCCTTGTGCGTGTTTTTTTTGAGGATGCGCATAATTCTGTTGTAAAAGTTAAGATGAAACATTATGTGAATCACGTCCTTTCCAAGCAAATCTTAAATGCGAGTCATTCTTTGCCCTTGGCCTTGTTTGTGTGCAGCTCCCCATCGTCCTGTCCTCCTTGGTGTCCCTGTACTTCTTGGAGCTGACAGATGTTCTGTCCCCGGCGATGGTGGGCTTCCGTTGCCATGACCGCGATCTCTCCATGCCCTACGTGGAGACGGGCGATGAGCTCATCCCTCTGCTGATGTTGCTGAGTTTGGCCTTCGCTGGTCCCGCAGCATCCGTAAGTCCATCGCACACACACACACACACAATGCAATCTCCTTATGTCCGTCACCGGGAGTTTCAGAGAAACCCTAAAGCGTGTCCGAGGGGGGAATCGTAAAACGCTACACATCCAACAAACCCATTAATCACGCAAACATGCAAATTCACGGCCTCTCGAACACTCGCAAAGCAAATTCAATCTCCCCTCAGAAACGCTGAGGTCGATGGACACATTGATAAATATACACCTGACATTCCCGCACACATCATCAAACATGCTACGGCACCCCCTAATCAATACGCGCACTCACACACACACACACACACACACTAATCCGTCAGCAGCATGGAAACGAACAGACCTCTCCGACGCTCATCTATCACCCTGATTGGAAGTGATCACTGTTCAATAGCTCCGTGCTTCCATTCTCTCTCCGTCGCGCTCTCTCGTCGTAGATCACAATCACAGACATTTATATCTGACATGAGCAGCACTTTAACACTTTTCCCCCCTCCTTCTGTACCTCGGCTGTTTGTTTTTTTTTCTTTTTATATTTGGCTCTCGATGGTTTGAAAATGTATCTGCACACCTTCTTCCTAGATCATGATGGGGGAGGGCCTGATGTACTGCATGCAGTCCAAACTGAAGACTTGTCCCAAGTCGGAGGGCAGCATAAACGCCGGAGGCTGCAGCTTCAACTCCTTCCTACGCAGAACCGTGCGCTTCGTAGGTGAGTCCAGCTACCAAGTCCTTTTGGGTGTTTGCTTGGAGGAGTTCACGTTGTTGTTCACAGCACATCGCGGTTGTGCGTTCAAAGACACGGTGGTAGTCGGACTTCCTCCAGGCAGCTGAGTGTGTGAGCATTGCAGAAGGAGTATTTAAACGTAAATTTAAATATATTTGATCAGTTTAATATGTGCTTTGCTTTGTATTATAAGCTAAATGACAGTGAAAAATCTGAAAGTGAGGTCAATGGTAGATAAGGAGTTTAGATTTTGTTGCTTGGGCAAACCCCAAACTTCGCCTGCTGTGAGCAGTTAGAAGCAAAATGCTGTTTGGTTTCTGAGACGGAAAACAGTTTTGGCTCAGACAAATTATTCCGCTTACCTGCTGAGCTTCCTCCCCTCCCCTCCCCCCCCAAACTTTATTCCACTTTTCAGAGTAGAGAAATAAGCTAATTACATGCATTAAATGAAGGGTGACTTAAAACGAAACAGGCATGATATAATACTTCACAGGAAATATCTGGAGGCGCACTTTGAGCTTTGATGTGAAAACAGTAATTAATTCACCTTGCCAAATTTCACTGTCTGAGCACGGGATCGGGAGAACGGAGCAAACAGAAGGCTCGTGGTGTCGCTTCAGGTCGCGGCAGATTTGTTTTTCCCCGAGCTGCTCCTAAATGAAGAGCTCAGTGTGAGGAAACCACCGGGGGCTTTTAGTTCACTTACCGAGGCTGCATCACCATCCTCTGACTCTTACCTCCCTCCATCCCTCTCTCTCTCTCCCTCAGGTGTTCATGTGTTCGGTCTCCTGGCAACAGCCCTGGTGACAGATGTCATCCAGTTAGCTACTGGTTACCACGCCCCTTTCTTCCTCACCGTCTGTCAGCCCAACTACACGGCCCCGGGAGTGTCATGTGACAATAACGCTTACATCACACAGGACATCTGCATGGGGAAAGATCAGTATGCTATTATGTCAGCCAGGTAAGACTCAGTGTTGTAGCTTAAAAA